CCCCGTCCTTTCCTGTTGCGAAAAGACATCGCTGCTGTACCGCATGGCACTAGGAGCACTCACTGTGTACCTAACCTTTGCAGTGGACACCAAACGACTCAATTAAAGCGTCTTTGAATCAGCACTGAGTGAGCACAATACGCTCACGTGAGCTTCTCACGATACGTGCATGTCACAACGGGTTGTCGCATCCATGAAAACGAAAAAAACACCCCAAAACAAAATAAAAACAAAGAGGGGAGAGAAGGCGAGGGTGGCAGGTCACTGAACGGGCCAGAAACAACAAAAAAAAAATCCAAAAATAATCAGGTGTTCTAAAAGGAAGGCTGCCGTCTAATGCTGCCTTCGACGTTCGCCTTCGGACCGACACTATATGCTGGGGGGGGGGGGGTGTTCTGTTTCTGACTGTGGGCGGAGCTAGGGCCAGCGGCACCACACCTTGTGCAGACCGCAAGACGGGAAGACAGCCACTCACTATTATTCGAGCGTGACGTGACGACAACGGAGAGTGCTTGCTCATCGCCGCTGGAACAAACTCATTACCGGTCCCCTATAGTGCTAGAGTAACATTCAATCTGTCGAGCTAGATCTACTTGGGAGTAGAAAAGTCTGAAGTACAGTACAGCACACAACTGTGCGTCTTCAGAACACAAAGTGCATTGCGCTAAATCACTGACGAAACGCTTGGCAGACTTTTCTTTTCTGTATTGGTAGCGTATTCCGATAGTGAAGGGTTGCTTTTTTTTGCCAGGATAAGGATGAGAACATAGAGGTACACATGACTACTGTACGCTGTAAGTACAACTTGTGGGTCATGGTCTCTTGTGTCCTTCACGTTTGTCTCAAAGGAGATTCCAATCTTGTCTCCGATTTCGTTGAACCTTGACGCCATGGCATATTATTATATATTGTAGAGGCAACACAACTAGTAACACACACAATTGTTTCCATCTTGCGTTATTTGACAAAACCTTGGGGAATATCTACATAAGATGAGAGGTCTCGACACCTTCACCCAAAAAAAAAATACCGCATATTTTCTTTGGTGATTCCCCAAAGCTTCTCACATTTAAAAAAATCTAAAATATAAAACAGACCTAAAGAACGGAATGCACACACTCTATCCTCTTTTCTGTATTTTGTTTTGTCATCTTGTTCCTAAAATGGTTAGATCAGTAAGACAGAACTAGGCATAGATCTACACACAATATCGTCCCTTCTCTTTCTCAATACGCCCACAGAGCCTCTCAACTTTTATCTACTCGAGGCTGACAGAACTGGACCACACACAATCGTCTTTTCATCTTTCACTACCTTACAATAGTCTCTTCTTCTGTTTCTTTCACTTTTTCGTCCTTTCTAAGTTCCTACATTAGAGTGGACGCACACACAGCCATCATTTCATCTTTCACTATCTTACAAAAGCCTCTTCTTCTTCTTCTTCTTCTTCTTTCACTATTTATCTCTAAGTTCCTACAGTAGAGTGGACGCACACACACAACCGTCTTTCATTTTTCCCTATCTTGCAAAAGTCTCTTCTTCTTCTTTCACTATTTCTTTCTTTCCAGCATCCTACACCAGAGTAGACGCACACAAAACCGTCTTTTCACCTTTCACTGTATCTTACAAAAGTCTCTTCTTCTTCTCCAGCATCTTTCATTATAATATTATTATCATTATTTTTTCCTCTAAGTTCCTACATCAGAGTTCGGATCAGCCGGACTTCGGGGGGCGGTTGGAAGGTGATCACATGGCAGTGGTTTCAGCCACCCGGCCCGGGGCTGTGGCAGACGAGATGAGCCCGGTCGCTCCTGGGGGTTCGCTCATCTCGGTAGAGGACTGGAAGTGGGGCCTTCTGGCCGCTCTAATGTTTTGCACTGAATGGTAACTTTGCATGGAAGTCAAGCTACGGTTGTCGTAGCGAGTGTCTACACTCATGCGGAAAGCATTAATTACACGAATCTGAAAGGAAATGGGGAGAAAAAAAAATACAGAACGAAAAATAATAATATTGTTGTGCTCATGGGCGATCATACAAATCAAATGCAACAAAACTATAAGAAACTAGGGCTCAAATTTCAAAACATTCGTTCTCCACCATAAAAAAGGTAAATCAAACTGGCATAATAGAGTGAACCAGGCAGGTTAAGAACATTCCGAATAGTATAATAT